AAGCATTTAGGAACTGCATTAAAGAAAAGGCATCAAACCAAATAGAAAGATAATGAACTTCAGATTCAAGTAGTGTTGAGTTTCAATACTGACTCAACAACTACCATCCAGGTAATCTTGGAGAAAGCATTTACTTCTATGGGCTTCATCTCTTTTTTTTTTTTTTTTTTTTATTCAAGCCTAGACAGGCAGAGTAGACAGAGAGAGAGACAGAGAGAAAGGTCTTCCTTTTCCGTTGGTTCATCCCACAATGGCCGCTGTGGCCGGTGCACTGCACTGATCTGAAGGCAGGAGCCAGGTGCTTCTCCTGGTCTCCCATGTGGGTGCAGGGCCCAAGTACTTGGGCCATCCTCCACTGCACTCCTGGGCCACAGCGGAGAGCTGGCCTGGAAGAGGGGCAACCGGGACAGAATCCGGTGCCCCACCAGGACTAGAACCCTGTGTGCCGGCACCGCAGGCGGAGGATTAGCCTATTGAGCTGCAGCACCGGCCTTCATCTCCTCTTACACAAAACCAAGTAATATTATCGTGAGTGGTTGTGAAGATTATGTATAATATATGTGAATCATTTGGCTTTCATTATTATAATTTTTAACAATGGAGAGTTGAAAATTTTAGCAAAATTAGCTCAATAAGTTCTTCTACAATTCTTTTTTTGTATTAAAAGATAAGTTTATTTTTATGCATAAAATTTGAAATAATGCATCCTTTTTCATAATATACATTTGCATGAATTTTTATTTTTCTTATTTAATTTTTTAAATTTTTAATTAGTTTTAACTGATTTATTATGTTTTATAGATACAATTATAAGCACAAAATGAATTCCCTTCCTCCCTCCCTCCACCTTTCTCCCTCCCTCCACCTTCCTCTCTCCCAGCTTCCTTCCTTTTCCTTCTGTCTTTTTTTAGTTTTTGAGATAACATATTTTAAATTTATGTAGCAGTAACAAAACTTAATACTTCAATGAATAAGAATTTTAACAAGTAAAAAGTGAAAAGACCCTAGTTTAATGGGAATGTAGAGAATGGCTATAAATAATGTTTCAATGTAAAAATGACCATTTCACTCACATACACTAAATCCTAAGGTAATCACAAGTCATTAAAACTACAGTAGTATACACTCTAACCATTGTTTTGACAAAGTTGTAAAACAAAGTTTCTCAAAACTATATTTGCAGCAATATTAATGTACACATGGATTTCTTTGATTATTTTTTTAAATTTTAGCTCCAACATATAAGAGAGAACATATAGTATTTGTCTGTCTTTTTTTTTTTTTTTTTTTGACAGGTAGAGTTACAGACAGTGAGAGAGAAATAGAGAGAGAAAGGTCTTCCTTCTATTGGTTCACCCCCGAAATGGTCGCTACAGCCAGCGCTGCAACAATCCGAAGCCAGGAGCCAGGTAATTCTTCTTGGTCTCCCATGCGGGTGCAAGGGTCCAAGCACTTGGGCCATCCTCCTCTGCCCTCCCAGGCCACAGCAAAGAGCTGGACTGGAAGAGGAGCAACCGGGACTAGAACCCGGTGCCCATATAGGATGCCAGCACCGCAGGCGGAGGATTAGCCAAGTGAGCCATGGCGCGGCCCCTCTTTTTTTCTTTTTTTAAAGATTTTTTTATTTACTCAAAATGTAGAGTTACAGAGAAGGAGAGGCAGAGGCAGAGGGAAGTCTTCCATCCACTGATTTCACTTCCCAAATGACTGTGACAGCCAGCCGGGATTGGGTTAGACTAAAGCCAGGAGCCGGAAGATTTTTCCAGGTCATCTATGTGGATGCAGGGCCCAAGCACTTGGGCCATTATCTGCTGCTTTCCCAGGTGCATTAGTAGGGAGCTGGATGGGGAGTGGAGCAGCCAGGACTCCAACAGGCATCCATATGGGATGCCAGCACTTCAGGCAGCAACTTACCCCCACTATGCCACAGCAGATAATCCCTAGTATTTGTCCTTCTGTGTCCACCTTATTTCACTCAACATGATGTTCTCTAGTTGCATCCATTTTGCTGCAAATGGTAAAATTTCATTCTTTTTTATAGCCTAATAATATTCCATTGTGTGTGTATACTTTATTTTGTTTAACCATTCATCTGATGATAAAGAAATACCTTGCTTGATTCCAAATGGTGGCTGTTGTGAGCAGTGCTGCTATAAACATGGTAGTGCAGGTATCTCTTTGATACATTATGTTCAAATCTTTTGGGCACATACCCAGTAGTGAGTATGCTGGATCATATGGCAAGTCTATTCTAGTTTTTTTAAGAAATCTCCACAGTGTTTTCTTTTCTCTCTCTCTCTGCTTTTTGGTACTAAACACTTTAAATTTCAATAGCTCATTGCTATTACCCAGAAACACAACTAGTTTTATAGATTGGTCTTGTATCTTGTGGCCTCACTAAATTCATTTATTAGCTGTGATACTTTTTAAAGCCTCTCTGAGACTTTTTTTTAATTGTTAAGCAAAGTTTAATGAAGAGAGCACCCCTGATCCACACTGTTTTCCACAGTGGCTGCACTAATTCACATTCCCACCAACAGGGTATATGTGTTTTCCTTTGTGTACATCCTCTCCAGCATTTTGACTCTCTGTGCTTTGGATTTTAGCCATTCTGACAGAGGTGAGGAGCTGTTTTCTTGAGGTCTTGATTTGCATTTCCCTGATGCCTAGTGATGTTGAAAATTTTTTTATATTTGTTGTCCATTTGTGTTTCTTCTTTTGAGAATTGACTATTGAGATCCTTTGTCCATTTCTTAACTGGATTAGCTGTTTTCATTGTTGTTGATATTAACCCTTTGTAAGATAGGTAGCTTTTACAATTCTGATTCCAGATTTACTGAGATCCTGGTTGAAATATATGCCATTGTTTACATGCAATTGTGCTTCTACATAACAAAAGAATTCTTTCATTCTTCTGTTAGGGTTTTCCTGAGAAATGGAATTAAGAGGATGTGTGGAGACAGAGAGACAGAGAGGCTCACGCAACTGTGGAGGCTGGTGAGCCTGAAATCGGCAAGGCAGGTCAGCAAGCCACAAACCTGGCAAAGAGTTGCTGCTGTAGCTGTGAGCCTGAAGGCAGGCTGCAGGCAGACTCTTCTTTCTCAGGGGATCTTAATCTGTTTTTCTGAAGGGCTTCACTGCATTAGATGTGGCCCGCTCACACCAGCAATAGTATCTGCTTATTTAAAAAGCCTACCTCTTTAAATGTTAATCGCAAATAGCCTGTGTCTTCACAACAATGTCCCCACTTGTATTTGGTCAAACATCAAGTTGATACAAATTTTACCATTAAGATTCTCACTGTAACATGAAGTGAGTGATACTGATATCGGATGACAATGTCTTGCTTGTAATCTAAAGTTTCAAAAGTTTCTTTTCCAAGTACTCAAACACTTTTTTAAGAAAGTTTTTATTTAATGAATACAAATTTCATAGGTACAGTTTTAGGAATATAGCAGTTCTTCCCTCCGTACCCGCCTTCCCGCCCCCACTGCTGTCCCACCTCCTACTGTCTCTCCCATCCCATTCTTCATTAAGATTCATTTTTAATTAACTTTATATACAGAAGACCAACCCTATGCTAAGTAAAGATATCCACAATTTGCACCCACACAGACATACAAAGTATAAAGTACTGTGTGAAGACAAGTTTCACAGTTAATTCTCACAGTACAACTCATTAAACACTTTCATTGGTCAAATAGGTCTACACGTTCCTGATTATGTAAATTTATTTTATATTCCCTTCTGTTTTCCTATGATATTAATTTTAATTGGTAATATATTTTGAAATAGCTAAAGCATAGAGGTTTCTGCAGAAGGATTTCCTTTTTCCACTCACCACAGTCTCCTGTGTGTCACTCCCTAGCATTATGTGCCACTGTTAAAGTGTATACTTCCAAAAAAGCATGGGTGATTAATATGCTGATCTCAGGAAAGCCAAATTATACACAAGCTCTATCATTTTGACTCTTGAACATCTGCATCCATCTACCTGGAACTCTATAAAAGACCAAAAAGGAAACAACTATTTTACTGCAGTGCCCTGGTTTGTTTCTCTGCACAATTGGACAGAGCTTCTGGAAAGAACTGAGAGGACTGGCTTATTTCAGATCCATGTTTTTCTCTAAATTGTAGCAAACTTTCTTCATGCTAAATGAAATATCTAATACAAACACTTTAAATATTTCCTATTGAATTAGTTTCAAATTTTTTTCAATGTGATCATGACTCTTTATATTTTGGAAATGCATAGTAAAATATTTACTGAGAAAATGGGAAGATGTTTGGAATAATAGCTGAGGCTGGATGGTAAGTACATGAGGATTCTTTATTCTATCCTATACTTTTTATGTAGATTTGGAAATTTATAACATAAAAATGTAAAAATTTCCACATGGCACATTGTTATTTTGCTAGTAATTAAAAAGTGAAATAGGCAGGGTAGACATTTGGCATGTAGCAGTGAAGATGTTCCTTGAGAATTCTGGCTCCACTCACTCCCAGTTCCAGCTTCCTGCTACTGTGTACCCTGGAAGGCAGCAGGTGATGGCTCCAGTAGTTGGTCCCTGACAGCCATGTGGGGGACCCCTACAGAGTTCCTGGTTCCTGGCTTTGGCCTCACCCAGTCCTGGCTGTCACAAGCATTTGAAGAGAGAACAGCAGATGAGAGATCTCTCTCTCTCTCTCTCTACCCCTCTCTTTCTGTCTTTCAAAGAAATAAAGAAAGAAATACACACACACACACACACACACACACTATATACATAATGAAAACAAAAAATGCACTTTTTTGAAAAAAAGTGAAACAGGAACATATGTTTTGCTGGCAACCTATTTCTTGAATCTACAATTAGTGCATGTCAGTTTATATTTCAAGAGCTATGTGATTATAGTTTTGTTTTGACATTGCTTTTTTTTTTTTTTTTTTTTTTTTTTTTGTTAATGAAACAAAGAAGCCTCAGAGGCAAGCAGCAGCCTGTTCTCTTTCCTGGCTAAAGGGGTCTGATCAAAAGGGGTCTCCACAAGTTCTTTAAAACCATTTGAGATCTTCCTATGAACAGAGCCACTACAATGCTCCATGTGCCACTACATGCTCCACACGTGCCATCAGACAAAAGCTCACTGGACATCATCATCATCAAAGAGGTCTTCAAAATCATTGAAGCAGTCTGCATGAACTGCCTTTTCAATGGCTTCCAAGTGCATCAGGAGTCCGGAGCTGTCTCCCTCCCCGTTCAGGTCCACGTAGGGTGCTGCAGGCTCAGGAAGCATCTTGTCTACAGCCAACTTCATCTTGGGCCTCTAGCACTCTCCGATTATAATTACTGATCTTGCATTTGCCTGGAGACTGGTATCTATTTCTGTTGATGAACAAGCTGCTCCCTTTAAGGAGGAGAGCAAACATTTTCAATAAAAGCACAAATCCTTAGGCTTGGGAATTCAGCAAGTAACTGACCAGAAAAAGTTCCTTTAATAATATTCAACACTAAAACATTTACTCGGAGAATTAATGAACACTCAGGGAATTGGAAAGGACAGCCCTTTATGGCAACTACCCATGTTTTGAGAGTTGCTCCTTCCTTCCTCCTCCCTGACCTCAACACTGTCTCCACTGCGGCCTCAGGGAAACTTACAAGACATAAAGAAGAAAAAAAGAATGTCCTTATCTTTTCTTTCCATAATTAAACTATAAGGTTATGGAAGGGTGAACTTTCTTTAGTGACTCTTTCTATGAACAATGACCTAAGAGGAATAAGTCATGTGCAACCTTGTATAAACGAGTATTCAATGCACATACAAGTTCATTTAACAGATTCTTTTCTCAGAGTTTGAACTTGGATCTCATCATTGCTGATTGTTTCTGCTGTATAGTTCCATTTGCTGTAAGTGACAGATAATACACTGGATCACTACAGAAAAATTTATACCATCCAAATATTTTGAGTAATTTTTTTTACTAACAATTTTCTTCTTAAACTCTATTTTTTTAAAGATTTATTTATTTATTTTTATTTGAAAGAGTTCCAGAGAGAGGTAGAGCCAGAGAGAGAGAGAGAGAGAGAGAGGTCTTCCATCCGCTGGTTCACTCCCCAATTGGCCGCAACAGCCAGAGCTGAGCTGATCTGAAGCCAGGAGGTCTCCCACACGGGTACAGGGACCCAAGGACTTGGGCCATCTTCTACTGCTTTCCCAGGCCATAGCAGAGAGCTGGATCAGAAGTGGAGGAGCCGAGACTTGAACCAATGCCCACATGGGATGTTGGTACTGCGGCTCCGCCTCATCCACGTGGCGTGAAGTCTGTGTGGACTCATACCTGCTGTCCGGGGTGGCCGTCTTCACAGCAGGTTGGAGTAACCATGCAGTGCTCTCCCCTTGCCTGCATGCTTTGATGGCCCGTGTTCTTTTTTTTTTTTTACAGGCAGAGTGGACAGTGAGAGAGAGAGAGACAAGAGAAAGGTCTTCCTTTTACCGTTGGTTCACCCTCCAATGGCTGCCGTGGCTGGCACATTGCATTGATCCGAAGGCAGGAACCAGGTGCTTCTCCTGGTCTCCCATGCGGGTGCAGGGCCCAAGGAGTTGGGCCATCCTCCACTGCACTCCCGGGCCATAGCAGAGAGCTGGCCTGGAAGAAGGGCAACCGGGACAGAATCCGGCGCCCCGACGAGGACTAGAACCTGGTGTGCCAGTGCCGCAAGGCAGAGGATTAGCCTATTGAGCCGTGGCGCCGGCCCAATATCATCTGTTGTATGTGTGTAAAATCAAATCTTTCTCTTTTCCCCTAAATACACAGCTCCTGCTGACCTAATGGTTTTCTATTTTCATCTTATTTATAACCCACTGATGTTTCTTACCAGAAATCTTTGGTTTAATCCGCAAAACTCAAATCAGCCATCTGAATCCATTGCCAGTGATGAAGTATTATTGCTTTAATGTCATTATTCAATCATGGAAGTATTTTCTATATACACATTCATTTTAAAATTATGTATAATAAAATTCTCCAAGGCGCTCAAATTGTACCCCATAATCATTTTTTTGTGTGTGTTTCAAAATACTCTGGATATATTGCCAAAGTACATGGACCTTTTATAAAAATTTTAGTCTCATTTCTTAATGAGTTTAAAAAGGATAATTTGGAAATTTATTACATTTCTTGCCCCCCTTTACTTTGTCATCAAGACTGGCTGCACATTCTTTGAATTGCTGTAAAGAATTGGCTGTCTAGACACAATAAAATATGAACACAAGGCTTACTTCAAGTAAATCACTAACTTGTGTTACCCAACAATGAGCAGAAAGTTTTTTCTAACACCTTTTCTTTGTTTCCTTGAAGGAATCTAGGAACTAGAAACCACATTCGTTTCACATTTTTGTGCTATCTTTTCCACTCCATGAAGTTTTAAAAGAGAAACTACTGGAATAAGCATTAGGCTATTGTTACAATGCCCAGATCCCATATGGGAGTGTCTGGGTTCCATTCCTTGCTCCCACTAACGACTCAAGTTTCCTGCCAGTGTAGACCCCGGGAGGTAGCAGTGATGGCTCAGGTAATTGGGTTCCTACCACCCACGTGCAGACCTGGATTGCATTCCTGGCTCTTAGCTTCAGCCCTGGTCATTGTGCACATTTCAGATAGTGAACCAGCAGATGAGAACTCTGTCTCTCTCTCCCTGTCTCTCTATCTCTCTATCCCTATCTTTCAAAAAAATGCAGAAGTTGATCTGAATTGGCTTGTGTCAATACATCCTACATGGATAAATTTATACACGATATGCAATGTAAACTTTGCTGAATGAATCCAGAAGCAAAGATATCACTCGTTTCCCAGACCTGCATTTGGCAAACCTCAGTCCAATCCCTTTTTGATTGCTACAGTTTCACAGCCTATTTAAGGTAGAAAGACTCAGCTACTCATTTAATAAATGTGGAACCCAAGGCCTAAGTAGAAATAATTGTAGCCAGACTCTGGATGATGTTGGCTCCACACAGATCTTTTTCTTAAGAAAACTGAAGCTATCTAAGAAACTCCTTTTCTAGAAACGTAGTTTTATATGGTGGAAACATGTATATCTAAATCATTTGCCTCGTAGGAACTCCTTAAAAGCAGCAAAGCCTTCAAAATTCAGGTCTCCATCTGTTCCTTTTGGTAAAAGTTATGGAACACTCACAATCTTTGTTGTGGTTAGCCATGACAGAAACACAGAAGCATGCCTCATACTTTCTCTGAAAGGTTTTTTTCAGTCCACATGGAAATTCCTTCAACCAAATGACTGATGCTAATTTTGTGTTGCTCTATTGGTTTTACTTGTTTGTTAATACAATAACATTCAGATCCTACTGTCTCGAATGTAGACATACCAGGAGAGATTTCTAGCTCCATGTGCAGCTGATTACTCTCACATCCCCACTCCAAACAACTCAGTAAGACAATGTGACACTTGGCTACTGGGAAGGACAATCAAAAATTTCATCTTCATTTGTTAACACGAATTCAAAAGTAAACTGGGATGTTTAGGGCTATCACTAGTGTACTAAACTTAATGTGAATTTTCTTAGTATCAAAACTCAAAAATCATTTATATAGAATCTTCAGGGAAAAACTTCCCCCAAAAACACACATACAAACACACATTCACACCCTTCACTTGCCCACAATGTTTCAGACATGACATCTGAGGCTCAGTCCCAGAAGAGCTGAATGATGTCCTTAGCGACTTGAGGGTTTAGCAGACTGACCTCCTGTACTAGGAAATTTCATGCCTTGAAATATTATATTTTATTTTTTTAGTTTATACCACATTTTCCATTGACTGCATGATATGTCCCTGTTTTAATATAAATATTATGTCTCAAATAACTGAGAAGTGACCAAAATTGATATTACAAGAAGAGACGTGACCTGTGGCTTCACATACACAGTAACATGGGTCGTGGTCACTTAGTTTGAGAGTCAGGAAGTACAAAATGTACTTCTGAGAAAAATCAAGCTGAGATTTAACAGAATCTGCCTAAGAGTTAACCCTAGTTCCACTAGACATCCAATTTAGACCAAATACTCTTAAGGCCAGAGGATGAGGTCTTCCAAAAAGCAGCAGTAGAGTTTGGGGCAGACAAGTGGCTGAACATTAGGGGAATCATTAATTCTTGTTTTCTAAAGGTTTTTTTATGTATTTGAAAGGCGGCGTGACAGACAGAGACAGAGTACTTAGAGTGCTTCCATCCACTAGTTCACTCCCCAAATGGCCACAACAGCCAGGACTGGGCCAGGTCAAAGCTAGGAGCCTGAAACTCCATCCAGGTCTCCCATGTGGGCGGCAAGGGCCCAACTACTTGGGCCATCATCTACTGCCTTCAAAGATGCATCAGTGGGAGCTGGACATTGAGCAGAGCAGCCAGGACTTGAACCAGTACTTCAGTATGGGATGTTGGGGTCAGCATCTCAAGCAGAGGCTTAACCCCCTGTGCCACAGCACTGGCCTCATCTGCTTTTCTTCCACCCCTTCTGAGGTTGAGGCACTGAAATTAATAACTAGCTAGAAATACAAGGACTGATAAATTATAGTTCCTACCCAAAGAAGCATACAAACTAGAAATTCTCAAAGTGAAAAGTAAAAAGGTAGGGAGACATACTAAGAGTGCTAGAATTGAGGAGAGTCACAGGAACTCAGGTCGGGGCAAAGGAAACAGAAAGAAAAGTCTGTCAGCTTTGTCTTTTCCATTGCCTTAAGAGATTTAAGTATTGTTTTATATTTCTGGAGATAAGCGGCTCAGAAAAAAAATTGAAAAATGCAGATTTGTTACTTTCTCCAAATTCAGTCTTAGTTGTGAAGATGTAATATCTGGCTTATTTCAACAAGATCAATTCTAAAGCCATTCTCATGAATGACTGATTTATTTTAGCAGGGTAAGTATAGTTTGTTGCTTTTAAAGATTCATCTTTATTTAATTGAGTTAATTCTCACAAAGGTAATGTGGTCATAGAGGTCTTGACCCACAGCATATGTTCTGCTACCAAATGAATGAGGCAATAAGGCTTGAACAACCAGAGTAGACCCCTAATTTTAGAGGAGCTCGGATACAACGACGTGTATACGGAGTCTAGTGCTACTATTGGAGAGTGAGAGGAGCCAGTTCTTAGGACTAATGTAGTCACATAAACAATCATATACAAACTCAGAGGACAATGAGCTAAACTAACTTGATATGATATTTTTGACTTAGGTTTTCTAAATTCCTACTACTTATGAGAGATTGTTCTGAGAGGTTGAATAGAATTTACAGATAGGAATTAAATGCACTGTGGATTGCAGGGTTGCGAAGTCAGGCAGATTACA